GCTTTTTCTCACTGACTTATTTCACTCAGCATAACGTTCTCAAGATCCATCCATGCTGTTACAAGTGGCGCTATTTTATTCCTTCTTATGGCTGAGTAGTATTCCATCGTATTTATGTACACATCTTCTTTATCCAGTCCTCTATTGGGGGATGCTTTGGTTGTCTCCATGTCTTGGCCACTGTGGATAATGCAGCAATGAACATAGGGGTGCATATATCTTTGCGAATACGTGATTTTGAGGTTTTAGAGCGGATACCCAGGAGAGGAATTGCTGGGTCATATGGTGGCTCTATTCTCAATTGTTTGAGGAAATGGCCAGACTGCTTTCCATTGTGGCTGTACCAGTCTACATTCCCACAGCCTCTCCAACATTTGTTATTGCTTATCTTGTTGATAATGGCCACTCTCACTGGTGTGAGGTGGTAGTTCATTGTAGCTCTGATTTGCATTTCCCTGATTGCCAGTGAGGTTGAACATCTTTTCATGTACCTATTGGCTATTCATATGTCTTCTTGGGAGAGGCGTGTTTTCATGTCCTCTGCCCACTTTTTGATTGTGCTGTTAGTTTGTTTGGTGTTGGGTTTTATGAGTTCTTTATATGTTTTGGAAATTAAACCTTTGTTGGAGCTTCTGCTTGCAAATATCATCTCCCATTTGGTCAGCTGCCTGCTTGTTGTCAGTTTATTTTGCTGTGCAGAAGCTTTTCAGTTTGTAGTACCATTCATTTGTTTTTGTCTTCACTTGCCTTTGGCATCAAGTTCAAAAATGTTCTCTATGACCAAGGTCTCTAAGTTTGGTACCTATGTATTCTTTTATGTAACTTATTACTTCAGATCTTATATTTAGGTCTTTGATCCATTTTGAATTAATTTATGTACATGGAGGCAAACTGTAATCCAGATTCATTCATTTGCATGTGGCTTCCCAGTTTTCCCAGCACTATTTATTTAAGAGACTATCTTTACTCCATTGTATGTTTCTGGCTCTTTTGTCGAGAATTATCAGTCTATATACATGTGGTTTTATAGCTGGGCTGTCTATTCTGTTCCATGGATCTGCGTGTCTGTTTCTCTGCCAGTACCACGCTGTTTTGATGATTGTAGTATAATCTGAAGTCAGGTAGTGTGATACCTTCAGCTTCGCTCTTTTTTCTCAGCATTGCTTTGTGTACCTGGGGCCTTCTGTGTTTCCATACAAATCTGATGATTTCTCATTCTATTTCTTTAAAAAGTGACCTTGGATTTGGATGGGGATCACATTAAATGTGCATGTTGCTTGGGTGATATGGCCATTTTAACTGTAGGTCTCTCTTTGCCGCGTGGCTCCTCGGCAGCAGGATCTCCGCTCCTCCTTGGCTGAGCGCTTTTGTTTGGCCCACCCGCCTGTGCCACCATCCCCTCTGACCCTCTGCACCATTCCTCCCACGTTAGGAACAGCACAAGCCCCCTGGGTTCTTGACCAGCATTTGTTTTTAAAACTGCATATAAGCAAACCCCTCATTCTGACAACTGAAAAGGTGCTTTTCCATACTTGTGCCTCTTGGAACAATGGTTTACAAGGGCATTTTGAAATCAGAAACAAAATGAACTTTTCCTCCTTTTTGTTGTTTTAGACCATGTGCAGGGACAAGGCTGGCACTGCCCAGCGGGGTGTAGGGAGAGGAGGAATGTATGTGCACACCACAGGGCCCTCTGGTCTCCCTGGCTCATGTCACCAAGGCCAGGCCACGGCTCACATTCCTCCCGCCGCTCCCTCTTCTCCCTGCCCAACCCTCCCCTTCTCTCCAGACGCAGCTCGTGCCAGCACAGCCTGTGAAATCACCGGCTCCTGGCTCCCTGATGTCTGGGGCCACTTGCCTGGTGTCTTATGTGGCTGCCAGGAGCTGGTTCTGCTCCCGCACTGAGCCCATTCACTCGGCCTGGCTGCTGCCCATGAAGAACCAAAGGCATTGTCCCTCTCAGAGGCAACAGCCGTCCTGAACAACATCTTTAGGAAGCCTTCCCAGGAGAGCACAACGGGGCCCATTGGGAAGGCCCCTCGTTGGGGAGATCTGCTTCGTTTGCCTGGAGAGGAGGCAGGCCTCCCTGTGTCTCTGGGAGTTTCCCGCCCGCCAGCCTGAACTCCAGTGTCCCGATTCCACACTGAATCCTTCAACCAGGATTAGACACAGATAATCTGAAGTCTGGTAGCGATTAGAGACTGAGGATAAGGCTTCGCTCTTCTCTGGGCACCTCCTGCCTGGGCAACCTGCACTTGACTCTCTACACTTGGCCATGTCACCTTCCCGGCTGATACTGGAGAGAAGCACCCCGACCCCGGGGAGGCCAATCCTGCCAGCCCAGCCCCCGTGGCGGGAAGCCCACCCTCTCCTCCCTGCACCCATCATACCCGCAAGGGTGGTGTGCAGTCTGTGTGCTTTCTCTGGGCGATGTCCGTGTTTAATCCTGGCTAAAGGACTTGGCATGGGGAGTCAGGACACTCGAGTTCAGGTGTGACCTCTGCCATTTACCCCCTGAATGACTGGGATGAGTCACCTCTCCAGCCCCCCATTTCCTCATCCAAAAATCGGTGCAAACCTGCCACCCCTCCCCTGCAGCAGCTCCGAGGAGCCCGTGGAGCAGCGTGTGAGACCTGGCACACCTCAGGGCGTTCCGCAGAGGCTGTTAGTGCCGGAGCCACCCTCTGTGACTGTTCAGGTAGCGGTGACAAGGGGGCGTGGTTTTGGTTCCGGAAGGTTCTTCCCCTGTACCTAAACACCACACTCCTGATTCACACGTCATGTCATTTACCTTGTCCCTCCCTCACGCTCCCCTCCTCTGCGGCCACAAAGGCCACCCGCTCTGGGAGGGGAGCGGAGAGGAGGCAGGGAGGCTGGGGCGTCCGGGAAGCATCTTCTGAGCTTGGAAAGGTGTCAGGGAGAGAGTTCTGAGGGCGGCGAGGGATCCTCTGTAACAGCCTGTTCCCTCCCCCGAGCAAAACCCGCTTATCTTCTCCGCAGCCGCGCCCAGCGAGGTTCTGTCCGGGCTGCGCTCTGAGCACCCAGCTTCTCTGTGTCCTCAGTCGGTCTCGTCGGGGTCGGGATCCTGGCAGCACTGCCTGGGGACGGCTGCTCGGAGGGGAGCCAGAGGAGGAGCCTCTGGGTGGGCAGACTGGCCGCTGAGCACAGGTCTGTAACTGTTTGCACTTGAGATGTTGGTGTTCTGCCGCTATGAGTGGTCCCTGCAGGATGCTGGGGCGGGGGGCGAAGGGGGGTGGCTGTCACGGAGCAGAAGGGAGTCTGTCCTGGGAGCATGTGCTCTGTGCACAGGAAGCCCGGACCCCACCCTCCAAGCCCTTGGTCTCCTCCGGAGACAGATTAGTGGGAGCAGGGTGCTGGGGCCTAGCAGGGCAGCAGGCTCCTGCTTCCTCCCGGTCAGCCAGCCTCTTGCTCAAAAGCAGAATGGCAGCCTGCACACAGTAATTTTCTGAACAGATAGCATAGAAATTGAAAAGCAGAAAAGGGCCTGTGACAGAAGTCTCTCCTGCAGGCTGCTCCTGAGTCTGGTGACAGCGCTTCCAGATCCTTCCAGAGACACTCGGGGCTCATGCAGACAGGCAGGGTGCATGTGCGTGTGTGCGCGCGCGCGTGTGTGTGTGTGTGTGTGTGTGTGTGTGTGTGATCCCTTTTTAGAAACTGGAAGCGGTATCGTTCCATACAGATGGCGTGCGGTGTGCTTTTTTTCACTCCCGCTCTCGCAGAGATGAAAGGACTGAGGGGCTTGCACGCCCGGTCCAAACGCGCTGTGGGTGTGGCTGAGCCGGCGCGGTGAGCTCTCCCTGTGGCCGGGCACCCTGCCTCCGGGTGCTCTCCCCATTGACGGGCACCCTGCCTCCGGGTGGGTGCTCTCCAGAGCACCGTTTGGCAGCCCACAGCTCCGTCTGCAGACGGGACAGAGCGCAATGGCGAGGAATGCATGCGTTGGTGGTTCCGGCCCATCTTGCCAGAATGCCTCCGCAGAGCTGCGGATTTCCTCTGGGCCCGGGTCATCCTTCACGGGTGGTCTGAGCCAGGAAGCGAGGTCACTGGCCCAGACGAGGCCTGGTTCGGATTGTGCCTCAAGTTAGGTCAGACCTGGGTGCTCTCGCCGTCACCCCGGGGTGCCAGAGCTCAGGGGGCAGCCCCCTGAACATGAAGAACCAAGGCCCCCAGAGGGCTCTGTCCTCGAGGCCCCTGCAGGCTGTTAGGATGTGGTTATCCCTAAACTGCCAGCATCCCAGCCTGCTCTATTCCGTCCTCCTTAGGGTCTCCAGCCCACCCCCACCCTCCGGAATGCTGAGCAGCCCCCAGGAAAGCCTGTGTCCAGGGCCAGAGCGAGGGTTAGGAGCGTGAACCATCCATTTTCTACTGGATGTGGCGCTGGGAACTAGCTCGTCCTGGCATCACCGACAGCAGCTGGGCTGGTGCCCCTGTGAGGACTCGGCCACTGGAAGAATCACTGATGGACACACACACACACACACACACACACACACACACACCGGGAGCCTGAGGCCAGGGAGGTGCGCAGGCCCCACAGACACCAGCACAGCAGAGCCTTCTGGTCCGCAGACACCGCTCTGGCAGCCGGCCACGCTCTGAGCCCGGCTGGCATCGGCATTCCCCGCCCTTCTCTGGCGTCGCTGGGGAGTGTTGGTGCCACGACGCCGGGGCCTGGCCAGAGGAGGGCTGGGCCGGGGCCAGGGGCCTCCCGTGCTGTCCTGCCTGCTGGACGCCGGTCCCCTGAGGAGCTGCCAGGCCATCAGCTTCTTCCTGTTCTTGGTCCTCACTCTCCCCCCTCCCCTTTTCCCCCTCCCATTCCCCCCCCCCTCACCTCAGGCAGCCCTTGCTTCTCAAGACCTTTGGGGGCAAACCCCCACACCCACCCCCACCCTCACCCCCACGCCCACCCCCACCCCCACACCCACACCCACACCCACCCCCACCCCCAGACCTCTAACAGCCCCTGTGGTTTCTCCCAGCTTCCGGCCTCTCCTCCTCGCCATCGACGCCCACCCAGGTGGCCAAGCAGCACTCCTTCCCCCTCGAGTCCTACAAGCAGGAGCCTGAGCGACTGGAAAACCGCATCTATGCCTCGTCCTCCCCGGCGGACACGGGCCAGCGCTTCTGCCTGGCCTCCCACAGCCCGGCCCGGCCCCCCGCGGCGTCCCCCACTCACTACGCTCCCTCCAGAACCGTAAGTCGGGGCGCGGCCCGCCTGGGAGGCGGGGCCAGGCTGAGGGTGCCCCCCTGAAGCCAGGGTGCGGCTCCGGGCCGGTGGGGTATCGATCAGGAAGCGGGGGGCCCCGTGGGCGGGTGGAAGGCCCGTAATAAGTGGTAACACCTGGGACATGGCCGGAAACAGCTCTTTGTCCCGCCACTTCTTAAAAAAAAAACACGTTTTGTTTGCATTTAGCTTGAGTGGGAGACTAAGGTGACACATGACAGGCCAAGCAGAAAGCAAACAAACACACAGCTTTTTTAAGTGGAAATTTGCTTCTCGAGTTTTCTGATGCTGGAGCGGGGCAGCATGCTGAGGGGGGCCTGCCTGGTGGGGGAGCAGTGTCCCTGTTCCTTCCGAGGAGGAGGGCGAGGCTTCACGGCGGAGCCCTGCACCCCACACGCCCTGCACATGGGTGCGGGGACTCCGTCCCTCTGGCCTGCCCGGTCCGCGTCCCGCACGCAGATGCTCTGCATTCGGTCTGTGCTCGGCAAGGACGTAAGCCTCCCGTAAGATGAATCTGTGCAGACAGCCCTGGTGTGGCTGTCTTCCTCTCCTGAGGCTGGTGGGACCTAGAGGCAAAGCTGGGGGCCTGAGGGCAGCAGGAGGCCTGCTCGGCTCTGGACGCTGCTGGCCTGGCCTCCAGGTGCTGGTGGGACAGGCCCTCCAAGGTCTCTGGGGCTCGAGGTCTCTCCAGCTCCCAGGGCCCAGGCTCTTCTCGGTTGGCAGCAGCATCACTCCGCCCTCTGCTCCCTCCCACGTGGCTTCTTCCCTCCTTGTCTGTCTGTCTTTGTCCGGGTTTTCCTCTTCTTATAAGGACATCAGTCATATTGGACCAGGGCCCAGCCTGACCCCGTATGACCTCATTGTAGCTTGATGACATCTCAATGCCTAACTTCCAAATGCAGTCACGGTCACAGGTGTTGGAGGTTAGGACTTCCACATGGCTGCGGGTGTGTGTGTGTGTGTGTGTGTGTGGCCCGTCCGGAACAGCTGTCTGTGGGAGAAGGATGTGCCGTTGTGCAGAGGACATCCGTGACTCCTGTCCCTCGCGGCTGTTTCACTGGCTCTGTGCTCTGCAGGGAATTGTGTGCTTTAGGTGCTGAGGGAAAGGCGAGCATTGCTCCCGGCTTCTAGGGCTGCAGCCTTGCGGGCAGGATGCGGCTGGGAAAGGTTAGGGAAAGGCAAAGGTACGCTGGTGAGTAAGTAGGGAAGCAGACAGTCTAGTCGTCCCTGCAGGAGGGGAAGTCACATCTGCCCAGGGCAGTGGAGGCTCCTGAGCAGAGGTGCCCGCTGAGCTGGGCCTGAGTCTCTCCCTGGTCAGCTTTCAGGAAGGGACAGGTAGGGAGCCTTGTAGGGAAAGTGAGCCGCGACGCGGGGCAGGAATGAGTGGGACGTGTCGTCATTTATTTTCTCAGCAAATTCTTAGGAAGCTCCTGGGTTGTGCCTGAAACAGGGCGATGGGTGACAAGGTGAGCCACCTCACAGGCGGGGACAGAGCCTGTTGTGTTCGCTTCAGTGACCATTTGAGGGATCTGAGAGACAGCCAATCCCTCAGCGGCCGGAAGGAGCCTTAGTCCACTCGGGAGGTTCAGACGGGTGACTGGTGCAGGAGAACTGACAGGGCCCGCGTGGTTGTTATGGGAAGAGAGCCCCGGCCCAGAGTCCCTGAGCGGAGGAGCCGACCGCAGCGGCAGGACATGGCTGTTCCTTCCTCAGGGGGAGCAGTAACCAGCCTGCGTTTTAGGGTGATCCCTCCTGGCTGGGCGTGGAGTCAGATTGGGTTTGGGTGCCTCGGGAGCTCAGGTGAGACGCAGCGGGAAATGAGGCAGGTCAGGGGGCGGCTGAAGCGGGAAGAAGTGGACTAGAGTCGGAAGGACAGAGCTGTCTCAGAGGCTGCCTGGAAGGGACTTGGAAGGTGGTGATTGGTTCATTGCAGAGGAAAGAGCGCTGAAGCAAAGGAGGGTCCCTGAGGTCTTACCTTGGGAAACCGGATGGGTGTCTTGCATTTTCTGGTGTAGGAGAGAGAACAGGAAGAGGAATGGGCTGCCTGTGTGCATATGTGATGTGCATGTCTGTTTGTGTGTGTGTGTGTAGGTGGGAGCGGTACAATAAGGTGTCTGGGACACTCAAGAGAGGTGTTCAAAGAGCAATTGGCTGTGTGCATCTGGAGCTAAATATATTTTTATTGATTTCAGAGAGGAAAGGAGAGAGGGAGATACAAACATCAGTGATGAGAGAGAATCATTGATTGGCTGCCTCCTGCATACCTCCCACTGGGGATCAAGCCTGAAACCCAGGCATGTGCCCCTGACTGGAACTAAACATGGGAACCTTCAGTCCGCAGGCCAACGCTCTATCCACTGAGCCACACCAGCCAGGGGCTGGAGGTAACTATTAACATTTGAATGTCATCAGACAGTGGTCATTTATGCCATCATAGCAGATGAAGTATCGATAATACAGAGGAATGTGTGGCAGGGGAAAGAAAGCCAGGAAAATGTATACATTCAAGGGACAAAGGACAAGGATTCTGGGTTACCAGGAAAGCAGGCAAACACAGCATCCGGGAAGCAAGGGGAGTGCATTTCCTTGTGCTTTGAACCTCTGGAGAGTGTGCTGACACTGACTGAGAGGCCTGGTCAGAGCCCCACACCAGCCAGCTGGACCGCCCACGAATTCCTTACCCATAGGAACCACAGACGACGCTTATGAGCCCGCTAGAGCTGCCATACAGATTACCACAGGCTGGGTGTTTACTGCTCCCGTCCTGGAGGCTGGCAGTCCAAGACCAAGGTGCTGGTGGGGTTGGTTTCTCCTACGGCCTCTCTCCTGGGCTGCAGGGGGCCACCTCGTCACTGTATCCTCACCATCTTTCCTCCAAGACACACATGCCTGTTGTCTCTTCCTGCTCCCATAAGGACACCATCTTATTGGCTGAGGCCCCACCCTCATGACCTTATTTAACCTTGGTAATGTCTTCAGAGGCCCTGTCTCCAAATATAATCACATTGGGGATTACAGGTTCAACATACAAATTTGGAGGGAGGACTCAATTTAGCCCAGAACAGATTATAAATTTTTGTTGTTATCTTAAGCCACTGAGTATGGAGTGATTTGTTATGTATCAAAAAATAACTAACTCTTGCCTTAGCTGGTGTGGCTCCCATACACCAAAAGGTGGCTGATTTGATTCCCAGTCGGGGCACATCCCCAGGCTGAGGACTTAATCCCTGGTTGGGGTGTGTGCAGGAGGCAGCGATCAGTGTTTCTTTCTCTCTGTCTCTATCTCCCTCTCCCTCTCTCCTTTCCCCTCTCTAAGATCAATTAAAAATAATAACTAGCACTTGTTTCATCATGTATGTGGGGAGGTGATGTAACTCAATGAATTCATGAACTTTGGTTTTTTTCTTAAACCTGACTCTTTCCACTGAATCCGTCTCCCAAGATCCCTACTCTTCCCTGGATGACTATTTGGATAGAAATCACTAACCATTTTTTTTTTTGAGATTCTTATTTGAAATAATTGCCTTTTTTAAAAATAGGGAAGCACTTTAAAAATCTAAAAATATTTCAAACCACTTGACATTAAGGAGTAAATGCATGGCTTTGTTTTTATATTCCTGTCTCACCATTTTAAATATCAAGTCACAACCTAATAAGGCCCGGTGTTAACGCTATCTGCCCAGAAATGGCAAAGTAGCAGTCCCATACTCTGCTGCTCACAGCAGATTAGATATTTTAAAAATAGTTTGGGGGGGGATTCACACTGGGCCCAGGAGTGGGAGCAGTGGGGCTGGTGAGCGTGACAGCCGGCGTAGACAAGTGCCGCCTGCGTGCTGAGAGACAGGCAGAGGCACTGCTCTCCTCGCTGTCGAGCCGAGGAATTATGTCTGGCATCCTCCCGGTTCCTGCGCTGCCGGAGGATGACTCAGGGATCGGGAAGAAGCAGAGCCCAGACCAGAGGCATCCTTGGCGCAGAGCGTGGCCCGTTGAAGCAGGGCCTGGGCTTAGGGTCTCGTCTATTCTGTTCCCTGGGGTAGATGAGCTTCAAGGAAAGGAAGTGGGATCTTTCTGCCTCAAGATTTTATTACTTTCGTTAATCCTCACCTGAGGATATTTTTCTCTATTGATTTTAGAGAGAGTGGAAAAGAGAGGGGAGAAAAGGATGGAGAAAGGAAGGGAAGGAGGGACAGAGGGAGGGAGGGAGGGAGGGGAGAGAAAGAGAATTAATGTGAAAGAGACACATCCATTAGTTGCCTCCTACATGCACCACAACCAGGGCTGGGAATTGAACCTGAACCCAGGTACGTGCCCTTGACTGGGAATCAAGCCTATGACCTTTCAGTGCACAGGCTGACACTCTAACCACTGAGAACACCGATCAGGGCTCAAGATTTTTTTTTTTAACTTGATAAATGCCCTCCCAGGAAATCATTGGTCCAACAGTTTCCCAAGATCTAGTCCTGTGCCCAGCACGGTACTGGGCTCTGGGTACTCAGTGAGAATGGAGATCATCCCGCCCCCGGGAGAGCCCCAGCAGGAGGGAAGGCCGGCAGGATCAGGACCCTGGAGCTGTCGAGGGGCCCCTCCCACCTCCTCACTTCCAGGTCACAGCTCACAGGTGGGGATGTGCTTTTAAAGGCCTGCAGGCCCCGGGGCCAGGTGCTGGGCCTTGCTGGGCTAACAGGGACACAGATGTGGGTAAAATGTCCATTTCCAGTGCTGAGTCATTTGCTATCTTGGTTGGTGGAGCCAACACTTTTTGCGGTTGAATCTGGAACGAGAACAGGCCATGTCGGGGTTCATCTAGAGGAGTCCACCCGGAGGAGCAGCCCTGCCCCGCCTGGGAGAGGCGGAGGTGAAAACGCGGTGTCCTAGTGCTGGGGCGGCCACAGGAGCTGCTCCGGGTAATCTGCTCCAGCACCTCTCCTGGGAGGAGACCGCACCAGGTTACCCTTCCTCCCACTCGGGCT